AAGAATGCTGTCAAAACTCTCAGAATCAATACTTTACAAAACAGTAACAAAGGAATAAGCTTGAAGGGCTTTCCACTGGCCAAGTGGTAACATTTTGGGCATCAAAAAGGAAAAACAAAATTATAGTAAGAAATTGAGTCTGTAAAAGGCTACAAATTAAATGATGCTCAAAAGAGTTGTAATACAAAATAAGGATGATAATAGGATATGTTTAAAGAAATATTCCTCTACATGTGTGTTTTGTTTTAATAATATACATGTTCATAAAGCATAGGTGTGTTTGTTTCTAACTTCATATACAGAAAATACAGGAATTTTGTGAGATAGAGAAACTAGAAAAACTTAAGTACAAAAAGAAAAAAAGCTGATCACTACCAGAGGTCACATGTAATAACCAAGTAGAAAATGAGTCCTGTTGATCAAACATAACAACAAATTAAAGAGAAGATCCAACAGTATATCCAAGATAATAAATGGCCAAATGGCCCAAAGAAGAAAATTCACCATGTAGGCTTGATGACTTACTTAGGAGTCATCAGACACATTTAGTAGACAAAATCTCAGAATGATCCTACTAATTATCAATGAGCTATTGATAAGGCATGCATAAGTTTTCAATAATGCTAATGGACAAGATGAATATACAGACAGGACAATGAGTTATGTTATGCTGACCCTGCAAAATTAAAGCATACATAATTTCTGGGAAAGACACCAAGTTCAAAAAATTAAAGTAATATGAAAAGCAAGGTATTAAACATCTGATGACAAAGCCAGTAAGAATTAATGATAAAAAGGGACTTAGCCCAAGACCTCTGGCTCATGGTTGCATAGCCTGGACTGTGCAGTCAGGCCCCATGTCCTAAGTAAGAACTAGTCAACAATCCAGGTTATGCTCTCTCAGTTAATCTGAGAAAGTATTCTTTTTCTTTTAGGTTTGGTTACGATCAGAAGTCCAGGAGGGTCTCAAAACAGTATAACTGGATCCCTAGGAGAATATGAAAATAAATATGGTTGTAATATTAAGAATGTATATTTTTAATATGAAAATAAGGACATAAAGCACAAATGTTAATTTTAAAAACAGATTGACTGGGGCAGTGGTGGTTCAATGGTAGAATTCTCACCTTCCATGTGGGAGACCTGGGTACAATTACCAACCAATGCACATTATGTGCAGCCACCACCCATCTGTCGGTAGAAGCTTGCATGTTGCTATGATGCTGAGCAGGTTTCAGATCTTCCAGACTAACACAGAATAGGAAGAAAGGCCTGGTGATCTACTTCTGAAAATCGGCCAGTGAAAACCCTATGGATCACAATGGTCCGATCTGTAAGCAATTATGAGATAGTGCAGAACTGGGCCGCATTTGTCCCACTGTGCATGGGGTCGTCATGAGTTGGGGCAGACTTGACAGCAACTAACAAAATAACAACATGTAAGTTATGAAAAATCCTGTTAATGATCATTGGTGTACAAGTCTCGTTTTGAGTCTCTGCTCTCAAGTCTTTTGGACATATACCTAGGAGTGGAATTGCTAGGTCATGTGGTAATTATATTTTTAGTTTTTTGAGGAACTGCCAACTATTTTCCAAAGTGGCTGTACCATTTTGCATTCTCACTAGCAATGGATAAAAAAACCCAAAACCAAACCCATGCCAACTCATAGTGACCCTACAGGACAGAATAGAACTGCCCCATAGCGTTTCCAAGGAGCAGCTGGTGGATTCAAACCACCGACCTTTTGGTTTGCAGCCGTAGCTCTCAAGCACTGTGCCACCAGGGCTGCATAGCAATGAATAAAGGTTCCAATTTCCCCACATTCCCACCAACATTTGTTATTTTCTTTCCTTTTTTTTTATCTTAGCCATCCTGTTGCTGTCGTTACGCGCTGTCGAGTCAGTTCTGGCTCATAGTGACCCAATGTACAGCAGAATGAAACACTGCCCGGTCCTGTGCCATCCTCATGAGTTAAATGGTATCTCATTGTGGTTTTGATGTTCATTGCAGCACTATTCACAATAGCCAAAAGGTGAAAACAACTAAATGCCCATCAATAGATGAATGGATAAACAAAATGTGGTACGTATATGCAATGGGATACTATTCAGCCAACAGAAGAAATAAAGGTTTGATACATGCTACAGTATGGATGGATCTTGAAGACATTGTGCTGAGTGAAATAAGTCAATCACAAAAGGACAAATACTGTTATGACCTCACTTATACAAAAAAAAACAAGGTTTTAGAAAAAACCTGGGTTTCAAAGACTGAATATGGAAAAAAGAATGTAAAATATTAATAATTTTTATGCTAATTACGTTGGAATGATATTTTGGATATATTCTTTTAAATGTTTTTTTAAGTCTGTTAATCATTGTATTCAAGTATGTTTCATGTACTATTCATAGAGTTTGAGAGTTTTCTATGAGTATCACTGTAGTTGAATCTCATTGTGATGTGATTTCTGCTTTTCAAACTTGGTTGTAATTTTCTCTGCTGCCTGACCCATAGCCAGGTTTTATAAATGTTCCATGAATTCCATGCACAGTTTCTTTTATTTTAGACTATGGATTCCTATGGTCCCATTCTCTGAAAATCTGATCCTGTCTGCTTTCTATCTTTCAGAGATCCTCAAAGTTTCAGTTCCACTGATGTCACTCTTGCTTGGGGAAACCAATTCTTCCTTATGTATCTTTTCAGACATTTCATAGAATTTGGGATGGCAGAGATGTAAACAGCACATATTTAGTCTATTATGTTTAGTCAATGCTTCTTCCAAAGTTCTAAAGTGAACATCTACATTAATTTTTTAAGGAAAAAACCCACACACGTAACAAGGTTTTTTTAAAATAACATTTTCCTATCATGCAATGCTGTAGAAATGCAAAGATCCTTTTTTAACAAGTACACAAATACTTGATTGTCTTCACAAAGAATTTATGTTTTCTGTTTAAAAAAAAATTTTCTACATATTTTCACCAAAATTTCAATAGAATGTTATGTGATGGTTTCCCTACAACCCTATCACTTCTTGCTAAACCTCAGAATGTCATGGCTGGACCCTCCGAAATACTACAGAACCCATTTTAATAAGTTTTATAGGACATTGATTACTATGTCATAGCTAATACTGTTGGGTGATCATACTGCTCCAGGATACTGAATTGTTATAATTTATACTGGGCTCATGGATGACAGAAAGCTTCCACTTAATAACCAAGTACCTTTTTTTGCCAGACTCTGGTTGGCAATTCCCATCTTGCCAGGAAATCCAGGGGCAAGGATAGAAGAGACATTCAAAACATCCCAACTGATAATCAGAACGCATTTTCTCATGACGAGGAAAAAAAGTAAAAATTATGATTATGAGGCTAGCACATAAACATTTTATTCACTCTAAAACCTTGGAATAAAACACTGCATTTCTCATTATATTAGTAAGACTGGAAGTATTATTCTAATGTATTAACTGTACTATATAGTATTTTAAATCTTACCAAAACACACTTCACTTGCCCTGTCTTCTTTCAAATCTATTCCCACTACTGTAAAAAAGAAAGAAAAACAAACACATACACACATGTAGTGTTGTTAGGTGCCGTCAAGTCCGTTCCGACTCACAGTGACCCTACAGGACAGAGGAGAACTGCCCCATAGGGTTTCCAAGGAGCAGCTGGTGGATTTGAACTGCTGACCATTTGGTTGGCAGCCTAGTTCTTAACCACTATGCCACCAGGGCTCTGTAGTACAATTAAATGGACTGACAGCCTCAGAACTGTCATCTTGGGAAACTGCCTATTTATCCCAGGGATGCAGCTACTGCTCAAATCATTTTTGGAACATATCTTCTGTAATGGCCCTTAGAGCTCATGGTATAATCTTAGAGGCAGCAAATCTTCACTCTCATGAGTAGATATAATTTTTTTTTTGAGAGTCCAAAGACATTGGGAGTTGGGTGATCAGACTGTGTGATAATTTTGAGTTGCAAAATAAAGGCATAAAGAGATTTGAATTCTCCAACTATTTTAGCCAGTGATATACTGCAATCATGTGCATAGTTTCCCAAAAAAACTCCTCTGAGGATAGCATTAACTGAATATGCAACAACAAACAAAAATCTCATATTCACACTTCAGACATGCCATATGCACAAGCACTAAAAAAATGGTCTTTTCCAAGAGGTATCTCCCACTGTCCTACCAAGCCACCTAAAATTCAGAATACCTTGATCTGAAAGACTGACAGCTGCTGGTAAAACACCATATAAGTTATGCAAAGGGTAGCATACAGACCTATTAACATCTTAGCCTGAATTTGTTTGACATAATAAATTGCCAGCCTTGACTGGCACAAAATAATAGAGCAATAACTGATTGGGGAGGAGACTGTCAAAGTGGGACAGCCACCAGAGGAGACCCTGGAACCAACTTCTAATCCATGAACTGAGCAACACCCTTCCCCCACCTTCAGTTCGAGACACGCATATTAAACAGATCAGACAAACACAGTTGCATGGTCCAAGCATGTGGTGATTTTTATTAAGAATAACTTTGGTTCTAAGAATTCCAACCTCAATTCTGTAATACTTTCCATTAAAAACAATTATACAAGAGCAAATACAAAAAATATTAAATTATGAAAAAAAATCCATTAAGGCTCCCTTTATATATATTATATACACTCAAACAAGTCAAGATTTTTCAGAGTAGAAGAATAAAGTCAACTGTTATAGCTTAGAAAGCAACACTACTTTACTACTATGAGACTATAAAACACTGAACTATTTTAAGAAAACCATAGAGTGGAAAACAGAGCCATGTTTGTCAAAAGGTGGCTCAAAGCACAAACCGCTCAGATATTCAAAAGTCCTAGGGGTTTGGACTGTACAGTATTGAGGTGTGAGGGGTGACCGACCATCTGTATAAACTCAGGCTTGTGAGTCAAGCTGACGTGATGACCGCAAAGAGCTTCTCTACTTGTACATTCCACTGTTCTGTCATAAAACATCACTTTACGCTATTTATAAAGTCTTCTTTTGGCCAGACCTTGTACTACTAACTGCAAATAATTATGCAGATTTGTAAGATTGGGAAGAAAATGCTTTTGTAATTTTTATTTCCCCCAGCAAAGACTGAATTCTAGGTAAATTCTTGGAACAGAATTGGTCCTTCTAAAGGAACCTGTCAGAGCCCTTGAGAATTTTATCAAGTGGTAGAGTTGCTTCAAGGGTACAGACCTAAAAATCTAAAATCGAGTTAGACGAAAGGATACGAGACAGTCCTGAATCTTTGTCTTAAAAGTCACATCATTAGTCCATATACACAAAGACAGAACCCGAGTCAATAAGCAGTCAGAAGTATACTTTCAAGACGATCAGTCATCGCACTTCCTTCCCTCAAAAGGAAGGATGGAAACCATTATTACCATTCCACACTTCAACAGCAAGTTAGTAGAGAGCAACATTTATCTTGAGCATCTCATAGTTTATTCAAATAATACTTGCTGATGAGAGAAATAATCCACTTCAGGTGTAATCAACTAACATGTTTCTCTAACTAGCAGTATATTATCATTGCATTTACTTTTATCTTGTTCACATTAAGATTGAATATGGGCCTAATCATCAACTATTTAAACTAAAGCATTCCCGTAGAAAGCTATTTTCTACTACCCCTATTAAGGATTTGAAGACTCAGGATTCGGCTTTCTATGAGCCTCTAAAGGAAATATAAGAAGAATCCTGAATGTAGAAATTACTGGCTGAATCGACTATATGGAGAACACACTGAATTCACACAAATGTTTCCATACCACCCCAAGCAGAATGTACTCCTGCCTATACCAGCTGTATAAAATGAATTTTGCATGTGAATTCTGCTAATATTCATAACTCGGGCTTTACTTTGAGCAGAACGCTACTAGAATGAGGAAACTGAGCAGCCTCTCCCTTCCCCTCAGCTTTTCCTGAGAGATGCAATGCAGTAGTCATCAACATCATCATTATCACTAAGTGGTGAAACAGTCTTTCTTCACAAGAAAAAAGAAAAGGTAAAGAAATAAGGGACTACTAATCAGAAATTTCAAACCTTGAATTCTAATGATATTCAAAATGTACAAATGCTAAAAATCTTTCAGTTACGTTTCCTTGAGACCAATCTACATTTGTTTCACATTAAAATATTCAAAGAACTCCTCACTACCCACCTCCCAATAAGAGCTTTCCCCACACTGCTCTCTGTAGAAATCAAGACATTTTGGTCCCTCTACTTTCTGACACTGAAGTTGGGTTATATGGACTAGCCTCCATTCTCTGAAGGCTTGGGAGAATATTTCATCTCAAAGGACTTGCTCAGCAAAAAATTTTAAAACAAATCCTCCAAGTTATCAAAACAATAAATGGATTTACAGGATATACCTTCTCTGAACTCAAATGTCACCATGTAGCATACTATTATACAGAGAACTGAAAGGAACTAAAGTAAGATCGAGATGGATGTTTACATATTTTTGTTCACATATTTTTAAACTTTCTCACCCTATTTCTGAGTGTAAGTGCCAACAAAGATATTAGCTGTGCTCAACATTAATATTCTCTGGTGTTAATTCTAACATGGGTGAAAGTATAAATTAAACAAGAAAACTTCAGGTTCTCAAAATAGAATTTACAGATATTGAAAGTAACAGGTTTAACGCATTTCTATGCCATCTAAATTATCTAATAGATGACAAAAAGAAGATTTAAACACAGTTTCTCTAGCTTTTAAAAGAAAAAAGGCTCTGTGCCCCACTAAACTTGGACTGGAAGAAAAGCCAAGTAGTGCAACTCTCAAAAATTTATTCCAGTGTCCTCTTCCTTTTTTATTTTTTTTAAGTCTCTGAACACAGGTCCATTATCCCAACTTATGTGTTGGTCAACAGCCTTCATTTGGCGAATCGGAACTGTAACTGTCAAGGGCAATTTATCCACCCAGATTGTAAGGGGAAGAAAACCAAAACCAAATCCTTTTTAAAGTAAAAATTTTCTGCTGGCTGGAATTCTCTCCAGGGGCTTCTGCCCTGAGATTAAGCGCTGAGGAGACACCTAGAGACACGGCTTCTGTGAGGTGCTGGGCTGGGACTCGCGAGGCCTCTGGGCAGCCTCGGCCTAGGACTCCTGGGCTTGGGCGACTTCTTGACCTGTTCTCCTGAGATTGCCTTTTACCTTCACAAACTCTGGGGCATTTTCTTGCTCTTCTTGCAATTTCTGCTTCTCAAGTTCAAGCTAAATGAAATTCAGAAACAAGAAAATTATTTGCAAAAAAACAAGCAGCTTTTCAAAATACTCTCTTCCCAAAGTCCCTAACAACTTCACTTCCTAATGGAAGAAATTCTCTCCTGGTCTCTATTTTTTTAATATATGTATTTATACAGGTCCTCAGGTTATTCTGCACAGTAGGAAAAAACCAATTGGTTGTTATTGCAAACAACACCAAGAGATGATAAGAATCTAAAAATCAAGCCTAAGAAAACAAAATACTGAGATCAACAATACAGTTGCTCTGAATTCTTCATGAAGCTGAATTTCATTACATTGCTTGAAATCCCAACACTCTACTGTGAATTCAATTGATATTTCCCTGTTTTGGCTTTGCCTCCTGGATCTCTGTTAGGTCCTCAATAGAATCCTTGAATGTGTTTTACCCCATTTGCTGACATTTCCTCTCAGAGCTTTCTTTCATGGTATATACATTTACATTTGACTTGTCTGATAAATCCTGCTCATTCTTATTTCTCAGGACAAAAACAAGACAGCCTTCACCCCAATCACCCCTACCTGCTCCAACTTCTGTTGCCGTTTTAATAGTTCTATTTCCAAGTCAGATTTCTTCTTTTGTGCTTCTTCTTCCTTCTGTTTTATTACTTGGTCTCGTTTCCTCTTCTCCATCACTTTCTGCAGTTCTGGTTTATTCTGAGGGGCAAGACCCCTGCAAAAAAGCATTAACAAAAAGGAATTTAAAAAAAGTAACCTAATGGACACATCTTTTATCAATAGAAACTTAATTTAAGGTATCACCCATAGAAAAAAGGCCTAATAAATTAGCATGATTGTAGTATTTACTACAAAGCTAACCAGTTTAAATAGACTATACTGGTAGTCTCAAAAATTCATAAGCATGAAAGAAAGGGCAAGAGCATCTTCCAAAAGACTATCCAAAATTCATTCATTCAAACACTAATGTGTTGAGCACCTACTGTGTGTAGATACTAGGCTAGACAAAGGAGGCTAGTGAGGGCAGGGGTGGGGAAGGCGGGGAACAAGATGCTCAAACTATGGTTGTGATGAATACCCGATAGAGATGCCCAGAATATGAGATGGCTCCACCTGAAGTTTTGGAGAAAGCCTCCCAAAATCTAGGCCCTGATCCTAGGTACTAAACGCAGCCTAGAGACTCCAGCTGTTACCGAAATTTAGACAGCAAAATGACCCTGGAGACCTCTTCCAATTCTTTGTTGCTCAGAACTGGAAGAGGGTTCTTGCACATCTGAAGGCATGTCCAAGGTTATGTGCACCATTAATGAGCGGTAGTAGCCATCATCTTCCTGCTCTCAGTCCACTGCTCCTTTCACCTAACCTGTTTCAGATGCACAGTTTATTATTTACAAGGCATGGAAGTCAAGCTTTAGGGAAATTCTATATTTCTGAGAGATAAATGAGGCTGCCATCTCTTTAAATGTGGAGAAACAAAAACAAAACTTAGGCCACTCACTAGCAACCCTCCATCTAAAGTGTCTGAGGCAAGTCAAGGGGAAGACATTCATTAGCATCTCCTCACGTGGGATTTCAGACCACATTTGATTTTTAACTAAATCAAAAGACCAAACCTACTGCCGTGGAGTCGATTCTGACTCACAGTGACCCTGCAGGATAAAGCAGAACTGCCCCATAGGGTTTCCAAGGCTATAATATTTACAGAAGCAGACTGCCACACCTTTCTCCTGTGGAGTAGCTGGTGGGTTCAAACCGCAGACCTTTAGGTTAGCAGCCAAGTGCTTAACTACTGTACGACCAAACAAAACAAAAAAACCCAACCCCACTGCCATTGAATTGATTCCAACTCATAGCGACCCTATAGGACAGAGTGGAAGTGCACCATAGGGTTTCCAAGACTGTAATCTTCATAAAAGCAGATTGTCGTACCTCCTCCTCACTGTCTTAATTACCTTAGCCAGGCTCCACTAGCTCTTAAGTATTCTCAACTTGATATTAAAATTTACTAAGAGCATTTAAAATAAAAATGAAACAAAACCACAGAACAGGAAAAACACTATAAACTTCAGGCAGCAGAGGGTATAAGTAATGACTACTTGCACATACTCATGTGAATGCACGCATACACTGGACTGAACAGCAACTCATGCTTTTCTGGACTGCAGGAAACAAGCACTGCTGAACTACCCTGTGACTCAAAGACGGCTCATGCACCTCCACCCTCCTCTTCTGATGATGACTGCTAGTCTTTCAACCTCAGTGGCTGTTCCCTAAACTACTGGAATCAACTAATGTGACTAATCAACTTGGAGTGATTTGAGTAACTGTTAAATAATTTCAGAAATACGTGCTCTGGTTATAAGTAATTCAACATCATACTCATCTCAGTATCTTTCAAATTAACACAATCATATCTGTATGCTAACCCTTCCTTTCATTGTTATTGCTGTTGTTAGGTGTCGTCGTGTTGATTCCGACTCATAGCGACCCCATGTGACAGAGCAGAACAGCCCCATAGGGCTTCTAGGGTGGCGCAGTAGTTAAGAGCTATGGCTGCTAACCAAAAGGTCAGCAGTTCAAATTCACCAGCCGCTCCTTGGAAATTCTATGGGGCAGTTCTGTTTTGTCCTATAGGGTGACTGTGAGTCAGAATCTTTACGGGAACAGATCGCCAGGTCTTTTCTCCCATGGTTGAGTTTGAACTGCCAACCTTTCAGTTAGCAGCCGGGCGCTTACTGATTGCACTGCCATGGCTTCCTTCTTACTTTCCTGGTAACTAATTATACTTTTTAAAAAAATTCTGGCATCTCTCCTATCTATATATATTTTTTTAAATCACATGAAAAATTTTTTAAGTCACTGTTGTTTATGATGTAAAAGTCAGTATAGTCTATCACTGAAGATAAAGAATATATAGTCACAGTAGTGTATACATCCCTACTTTCCCAACTTTCATTACAAGAACTTCTGGTAAAAAATAAAAATATTAAATTTAGTCAAGTCTCCAGCGAAACAAAAAAGGCAGGTCACTTTTATGATGTAATTATGGTTTGTTTCAGATATTAAATGGTACTGGGGGCAGAAGCAGAGAGAGAATACTCTGGAAATTAAATCTTTAATCAGCCCAATAAAAGATGCTTGTAAGTACCTCAACTGTTCAAAAGAAATTTTGTTTTTAAATAATCTGAGTAAAGACCCACTCAGTTTCACGACTGTCACAAGCCTCAGTATGGCGCTACAGAAATAACGATTTAAATTTTAGGATTAAGAATTTAGTTATCTGCATAATTTAAATTTCAAACGTTTTTCTTTCCCTATATTTCAATGGCAAAATTAACTTCAACTGTTATTAATTTCTTCTGCTTTATGCAAAAGCTGCTGAACAAACTTTGATATATGACACATTAAGCTGACATTCTATCGCAACATGCAAATGGATTTAACTATTATGCAGTATTCATTTTCTGTTCAAAGATTCTACACAATGGTGACAGTGAGATAAAATATTTAGTAATGGGAAACTCAGGATAAATGAGCATTTATATGATAAATGCTCTGCACTCAGAACAGTCTAGAAGTCATAAAAATTTAGTTAATATTTTATTACGGTGGATCACTTAACTTTCAACACTGAATGGAAAAAGTCAACCACTGCTCACGTGATTCTCTGTCTAAAAATGAATCAGATGTACAAAGGTATTTTCAAGACTGAAATAAGCTTTTCCAAATTTTATAACAATTACCGTATCATTCCTTTGCATGAGAACAGTTGATTCTCCTTAATCAATTATGGCATGTACAACTAATGAGTAATGTTAATACCTGGTCCCTGGAGAAGGCCATCATGCTTAGGAAGACAGATGGTCAGCAAAAAACAGGAAGACCCTCAAAACAAGATGGACTGACACAGTGGCTGCAACAATGGGCTCAAGCATAACAACGATTGTGAGGATGGCACAGGACCAGGCAATGTTTTGTTCTGCTGTACAAATGAGTTGGAACTGACTCGATGGCACCTAATAACAACGACGTATGACTGACGAGTGCTCGAACTCTGGTGGCTTTATACTACCCAAGACCAACAGTTACTCCTGAGTCAGATTTCTGAACATGGAGCTACCTGTGACTGCTACAGTGGGAATAGTCAATGTTTAAAACTATTTAAAATGAATATGTGCTCTTTGTAAAAAAAACTGAAGTAATACATATGTGTGTGTAAAATAAAAAGTGAAAGCATTTTCAACTTCCCTCCATTACACAAATCGTGGGAGCACCATTTACAGCCTATTCTATGTGAACAGTGTTCCCCAAAATTATACAATGTAGAAGCCCAGCCCCCTCAACCCCTTCCTATTCCTGTACCCAGAGAATACTGTTATTGACAGTCTGGCTCATGTTCCCCCATACTTTCTGTGCCTGCACAAGCATACAGCCCTCTCTTATTCTTCTTAACATCTATCTGCACGATCCAGCACAGTACAGAAGTGCCGTGATTCTGCCACTCCTCTAACGGACCAACATTCAGGTTGTGTCCATTTTTTTCACTATTAGAAACAATGAGGCAGTGAACTTCCTTGTACATTTATATTTGCACTCTTATACAAGTATTTCTGTTGGCTAGATTTACAGAAGAAGAATTGCTGGCTAAGCGTCTGCACATATTACATTTTTTTATATGCGTTATTGCCAAAATGCCTTTCAGAAAGGCTGTGACAATCTATATCCTCAAGACCAGTGTGCGAAACATACAGGCAACTTTTAAAGGTATACCTCACATTTCACATAAACCACTAAATACATTCAGGGGCAGAGCTGAAGAGTCCACATTCTTTCCATTCATTCCACCTCCACCTCAACTCCTTGCACACTTAAACCCACACAAATGAGACTTCCTATTACCTGGGAGGGCACTTAGCCAGAGGCAAGGCTGGGCTCAAACCGTAACAGAACTTGCTCGTCAGCAGAGTCAAACAGCTCCTGGCCTAATTTGTTTCCGAGGGGGTGGGAGTAGTTTGCATTTATCTTTCTCTCTCATCTAGTTCGGCCTGCCTCCTCTACATTGTTGGCTTAGCTATTCTTCTCTGCCTGGATACAAATGGAAGTACTTCTATCCTGTATCACTAGAACTTCTCATTATCTTTTCCACGCTGTACAACAGCAAGTATTTATAGAGGAACAGTTTGTCTAAAAAAGCATGCCGAAAGAAGATCAACTAAAAACATAGGGAGCAGTTTATTTTGAAATATAGAAACCAAAGCACGAATTTTAGGGATGTGTTTTAAGTCACTGAGCATTCTATTTACCTAAAACAGTACTCTTTATAGAGTACTAAATTATATTTTCTTAATTATATTAGAATTTATCTAAATTATATTAGAAATATTTTTATTATTGCTTTCTTTTTAAGACCTTATCTTAAACACTGGTCTTTCAACTACAAAAGAAATCTGTCTTCTTATGCCATCCAGAACATTGACAGAACCTGACAAAGGATCTTAACTATCAAACCTATTAGCAAACTGACCAGATCTGAATTCAAAGAATTTTAACCTGAAACTTAGCTGGGTCCAAAAGATGGTAAATAGAGGGGCAATATTACACATTCGAAAGGGCCTTGGTATCTGAGTTAGAAGACTACCATGGATTGAGTTGTGTCCCCCAAAAATATGTGTCAACTTGGCTAGGCCATTATTCCCAGTATTGTGTGACTGTCCA